TAAGCAATAGGCAAGTTAAAGACATGTGGACTTTAACTCTGAGAGTTGCTCACCGGCGTTTGCTGGCTGAGGAACTCTGGGAGTTGAAGTCCACAGGTCTTAAAGTTGCCAAGGTTGGAGACCACTGCCTTAGTGCACTGAAGGAATGGACCTCAAATTCTAAAGATCTGAGGTCCGGTCCTAAAGCTTGCTGAGGTACTTCTCCTTTACTTGCAAATTTCACCGCCATCTTCCCCATTGAAAGGAAGGGTCATGTGATGGGGGAGGGGGCAGAGTGACCTTTTATGCTGGCCGGAAGTGCTTTAACTTTGAGTAATCATTAAACAATCAGTTATAAGTTGAGGACTACTTGTATTCCCCTATTCATGGGAAGCCTGCCAACCAATGTCTAGACTCATTTCCATAACCAAGCCACATCAAAGCTACTACAACCCACTGCCCCCCCAAGAAAACAAAACTTTATACCTGAAACACTGACTGGTTTTGCAGAAGCCCCTTGAACTGTCATGGCTTGCATGGGGCCTGGATTCTGGTACATTGCTTTGGAAGTACGTGAGATGGCACCAAACCTTGATACTGTAGGCCTATCTCCAAAGGGAATAAGATCATCATCACCAGTCTCTGCGGCTCTCCTTTGTAAATCCAAACGTTGATCTCGCATTCCCTTGCTGTCCACATTCTGGAGTGACAGATTAAATGATCAGAATGACAAAGAAAGCTTCTCCTTTTTAGTTGACATTATTTCTCAGATGTTTCCATATCACAATTATGGTGGGAGGGGCTCCGATTGGAGAAAGACACTTGCACAACAGTAATTTTTCAAACTTGTAAGCAAATATTAACAGCATTCAGACTATTCTTTGCAGGCTAAATATTTAGCAATATGAATGTACAAATTAAGCAAAGGCCTTTGGAGGTAGATACAATAAAATAATTGCTTTATCCATGGAACATTATTCCTTTCTCTCAAAAAATACTGTATTACCAGGCCATTATGAACTTTGGGAAAATTTTATAATGTATAACTTTATATGAGTGGAGCATAGCTGGAGAAAAATATATCCATAATCATTATTTCAAAGCTTTCTCCCCAATTTTACTTTATATATATGAAATTATAAACAAGGAGTGGGAAGAGATAAATTCGAACTCGGCTACATACATACAATTAGGAGAGAGAAAGACTGGAACAAGGAAAGTCAATGGGGAAGCCAGCAGGAAGTCTCAGACATTTGAGGTCCTTGCTTAACAACCCACACAATAGCAACTGGGACTACCAGAACTATGATCACCAAGTGGTGCAACCATATGCCTTTTTGACTTATAACCATGTTCTTTCACGACTTGAGTTTCCAGTCCCAATTAGCGTTGTTAAATGAGGACTGCCTGTACACTGTTACTACTGATCCTTAAACTTCTTGTCAGCTGCTGCCATATCATCTGCAAAAGTCTGGAGAATCTCCATTGGAAACCTTTGTCTAATCTGGTCACCTGGCAATTTACCAATTACCAAGAGTACATCACTGGGTTTTTTTTTCAGCATGCTTACCACCATCTCCACAAGACCCACTGCCACAATGTCTTTGGGTTTTGCATCTTTGGTTCCAATGTAGGAGCCAATAGTGTCACACGACCAGGGAGAGTACTGGCTGTAATCATTTCCTTTGTATTTGCCTGCTACCTTCAGATCTTCATCCAAGTACTGCATAAAAACAAAGCCCACTCATGTCAGAGAAAGAAAGCATTATGCTGTCATTTGGAATTACCTTGTCTAGACTAATTGCAGATAAGAACATTTATTAAACATTTGAGACAACCTATGAGGTTTGGGATTTCTCATACTTTTAAAACTAATTCCTAATCTCTGGGCTCTTGTACGCTTAACGTTCTCCACATGAGGAGAAAAATGGCAGGAGAGACTTACCTGAGCAACTTGCAACCTTCCTTGCCAGCTTTCCCATTAATAGTGGCTGTGGGAAGATGGCAAGGAAGGTTGTAAATGGCAATCATATGACTGTGGCTCACTGCAATGTCATAATCATGAGCCAGGCATTAAAATTTCCATATCACAATTATGTGATCAGGAGGACGTTGTGATAGCTGCAACTTCTTAAGTCGTAAGTCCCCCTTGTTCAGCACTTTTGTAACTTTGAATGGTTGTTGAATGAGGGGTTGTACCCAAAGAACTACTTGGAATCTGTAATTCTAGAGCAGTGTTTTTCAACCACTGTGCCGCGGCACACTAGTGTGCCGTGACATAGTGTAAGGTGTGCCATGGGAGAATTACTTTATATATA